CACGCTTACCCGTGGGCTGGATTTGAGCTCATTAGCACCTGTTTGGACGGGGAACGTTCCCCGAAAGTTTCAGCTTTTTTAGCATCTCAGAACCCCGATAGCACCAGCTTGGACGGGGAACATTACCCTAAAATTTCAGCTTTCTAGCATCTCAGAACCCCGAGTTGTGCTTGGACGAGGAACATTCCCCTAAAATTTCAGCCTTCTAGCATCTCAGAACCCCGAATAATCAACGACGGGGAACATTCCCCTAAAATTTCAGCTTTCTAGCATCTCAGAACCTCGAGTTATGAATTTGTGTAAACTTTGGGGGGCCCATACGCGGGTACCACGCTTACCCGGGGGCTGGGTTTGAGCCCATTAGCATAAATTTTGGGGGGCCCGTACACGGGTACCACGCTTACCCGGGGGCTGGATTTGAGCCCATTAGCATTTGCCTGGGCATTCCCCTAAAATTTCAGCTTTCTAGCACCTCAGAACCCCGAGTTACGAATTTGCGCGGGAAGAATCCCCCTAAAATTTCAGCTTTCTAGCTCCTCAGAACCCCGAGTTATGAATTTGCGCGGGAAAAATTTGTAAATTTCAGCTTCCTAGCATCTCTGAACCCCGAGTTATGAATTTGCGCGGGAAAAATTTTGGGAAGATTTCAGCCTTCTAGCTTCTTAGATCCCCGAGTTATGAATTTGCGCGGGAAAAAATTTGGGGAAGATTTCAGCCTTCTAGCTTCTTAGATCCCCGAGTTATGAATTTGCGCGGGAAAAATTTTGGGGGACATTCCCCTAAAATTTCAGCTTTCTAGCACATCAGAACCCCGAGTTATGAATTTGCGCGGGAAAAACTTTGGGGGGCTCATACGCGGGTACCACGCTTACCCGGGGGCTGGATTTGAGCTCATTAGCACCTGCTTGGACGGGGAGCGTTCCCCTAAAATTTCAGCTTTCTAGCATCTCAGAACCCCGAGTTATGAACTTACCCGAAAGAATTTTTGGCGGGCTCGTACGGGGGTACCACGCTTACCCGGGGGCTGGGCTTGAGCCCGCTAAAAGCCGCTTGGGCGGGGAACATTATCCCAAGATTTCAGCCTTCTAGCTTCTCAGATCCTCAAGTTATGAGCTGATCCCAAAAAAACTTTGGGGGGCCCGTACGCGGGTACCACGCGGGTTTTGGCGC